GACTCAAAACTGAACACAGTATTTGAGGTGCAGCCCCACCAGTGCCGAGTACAGGACGACAATCACTTCCCTAGTCCTGCTGGCCACACTATTTCTGATACAGGCCAGGAGGCTGTTGGCCTTCTTGGCCACCTGGGCACACTGCCGGCTCATGTTCAGCTGGCTGTCAACCAGCACCCCCAGGTCCTTTTCCGCCAGGCAGCTTTCCAGCCACTCTTCCCCAAGCCTGTAGCGTTGCATGGGGTTGTTGTGACCCAAATGCAGGACCCGGCACTTGGCCTTGTTGAATCTCATACAGTTGGCCTCGGCCCATCGATCCAGCCTGTCCAGGTCCCTCTGCAGAGCCTTCCTACCCTCGAGCAGATCAACACTCCCACCCAACTTGGTGTTGCCTGCAAACTTACTGAGGGTGCACTCGATCCCCTTGTCCAGAACATTGATAAAGATATTAAACAGAACTGGCCCCAATGCCGAGGCCAGGGGAACACCACTTGTGACCAGCCACCAACTGGATTTAACTCCATTCACCACAACTCTTTGGGCCTGGCCATCCAGCCAGTTTTTTACCCAGTGAAGAGTATGCCCACCCAAACCATGAGCAGCCAGTTTCTCCAGAACGCTGGGGGAAATGGTGTCAAAGGCTTTACTGAAGTCCAGGTAAACAATATCCACAGCCTTTCCCTCATCCCCTATCCACTTATTAATCTGCTTTGGCCTAGGCTGCTGCATTATACAGCATTTACTGCTCCTCTTGAACATCATCTGAAAAGTATGAACTGCTCATCCTCAAGAAGGGGTTCAGATTTTCTGTGCCCAATTTGGTGTATGCATGTTATCTTTAGTGAGTTATGTAGAATTTGTCTACAATCTGAAGGAAACTGGCCCTCTGCTGAGGTTCAGTACTGAGACTTCTGAACCATTACTGAAAAATGTTAATTAACAGTATAGACAAAACAAAAGAATTTCAGGACAGGTGCTGAAATGTCAGTAGCATCATTGTAGTTAGCCCATCATGCTTATAATAGAGTCTGTCCCTACATGTTCTCACAATGCTGCAAAAACTACTTTAATACCATTTCAATTGCACTTGATAGCACTGCTGTTGAACGCTTAACTCTGTGTAGCAATTCATCCTATTTTATCTTGGCCTGATACAGAACAAAAACATCTGTGAGATGGCTGCAACTAATAGCTGATCCTTAACCACTGTTCCACAATGTTTCTAGCATCTCCCCAGTGACCAAATCCCGCAACTGCTCTTGCAGTAATTTTTGCTTTGAGCTACAGCATATACATTATCAGTGGAATATTCTGCTTTAGAGATGCAAAGGATATTTTCTGGCAGTTGTTCTAATTTTGAAACGTTCTTGCAATATTGGTATCATTTAACCACTGCAAAAGTCCTTTTCTTGGCAAATATTTTGGGGTACCTTCCAATTACAGACAGCAACTTTCACAAAAGTGCCTAGCCTGTAGAAACTCCAGGCTAAACACCCACAATGCAGCGTTACCAGCACTGAGACTGGGAAGCCTGCTTAAAGCACGCATGCTGAACTGGACGACTTTTAGCTACAACAAACAGTATTGATGCACCATACTTACAACGATTGAAACAAATCACAGTAATTTAAAACAGTTTAAACCCCCATTTTAGGCAAAACCACTAAAGCTTTTTATAATGATGATGGAAGCTATGTTATTCCATACGCACAAACAGTTAAATCATTTGGAACGTTACCTGAGGAAGATTTGCTGCCGAAAGCCTTTGTCCTCTATAGCCCAAATTTCCTAATGCAAGCAGGGTCTTGAGAGACTACTTTTCACGCAGCTATTTGTCCAGACTCTTGGAATATGACCTAATTGGTGGCTAGAGATTCACAATGTGATGCAAGAACTATATTTCTGTTAAGCTTTGTTCATTTTGTATGTTATTTTCTTCGGATTTAACTGTTCATTAAAAGTTATTTTATTCAATAGTCACTGAAAACAGCTTTATTCAAGAGGCACTGAAAACTGAGACAAAGATATCATTTCTTGCATGTGTTCTATACAAGCTGTGCATTTAACTCCTTTTACATTTAAGAGTCCCGCTTTTTTTCTAATATGAAAAATGAATGTGGTCTAAACTGCTGTATTTTCTACTATTTCATTAGAACTCATTTTTCTGTTGTAGTCAACACATGCTGGGCTGCAGTAAGAAGGTGACCGACTACTGCTTAATAATTCAATGTCAGGATGCTCTTCCCCCTTCTATTGCATTTGTGTTTCCCAAGACAAGGAATATTTTAGCACTTACAGAACCAAATAGGACTCTAGATAATTCAAAGGAATCTCTGTTGATCAAGTTCTAGCTTATGCATGTACACATAGGAATACAAGGCCTACAAAACTACTGGAAATAGACAGATTACTTCAACTACAATATGCAGTTAAAAGTTTTCAATAACCACAGTGTTACTCTACTAGCCTTGTAAACATCAACTCACAGAAGAGTTCAGTTTCAATAAAAGTTACAAGAGGAGTAAGGCAAACAAGGATAACCATATCCCATTTTCCACCTGTTCTTGCTGCTTCTTTCTGATATGCACATAAAAACCACCCATAAGGTGATGCCAGGCTTTGGCGGGTGGGTGGGGGGCGGGGGAAGTATGACAAAGCCAACAAATCCATCAAAATATGATTTCATGATTTCTAACAATAAGATGCATGTATCTGGCAGTAACACAAGAGGACAGGTGTTTCTTAATTAAAAGTTAAGCATCAACTTCTGGAACACAGTTTAATTACAACTTGCATGAAAATAATAGTTTTATTATGCTTAGCAATATTATTTAAAAACCAGAAAATTCATGTTATACTATACACACTATATTATACACATTTAACACATATAGATGTGTTAAATTAGTTTTAATGGGTTGTAATTAATCCTACTTAAAATTAGGAAATATACTGCAACAACCTAAAATAAGTTAATACAGTACTCTACTTTTCCATGAGGTTTAACAGGTGTCTAGAGAACTCCTAATCCTGAAAGAGTTGAAAACCACATCAAACCTCTCTGTGAAGATTTTCTTTGCTAACAGGATATAAACTTTTGCCCATTAATAGAACATCAATTATTGGATATTTTATAGCATTATGGAAACTTCTCCAAAAACTTAACTAAATCTACAAATGAAAATTTAAAAATAATATTCTAATTTTCTATCATTTTGTTTCAGACCCTACAATAGTCTGGAAAAAAAAAAGACTTGTGCATCTAGAATGTGCACCTACATGCACAATATTGTAGGAAAATACTATTCAGTCTGACATTTAACCTAATACTTGAAAGAACTGAGGATAAAACAATCATTTAGATACATTATATGTATCAAAATTAAACAAAATTATTCAATGGCTGCTACTATGAGATCTCAAAAAAAACTCCAGCAACTATGATATGAGCATCTTCAACTTGATGAGAACATATAATGACATTAGAAATAACCACTTCACTTACAATTCATTTACATGAACACTATAGAGAGAAGAAGACTAGTTGTATTTCAAATTAGTATCACTTTAACTCGACTGGAAGTATAAACTCTCATAGCTAGACAGGATAGTGTACAACCCTAACTTAGGATAATGTACATTTAAATACAAAATGGAAGATAGAAGAGTATTTTTTTTATGGGTCTGTCTTCACACTGTAGTCTCTCAGATCTATGTATCCAACACCTGAATCACAATAGGGAAATGTGATACTATAAATTCAGGCATTATAAAAACTCTATTTAGGTTGTTTTTTTTTTTTTCATGTTAAAGAACAGCGCTACAATAATCAAACGCAATTCATAATTCATTTAGGGAAATGTAGGTCTATTGATTTGGTGAATCTTATTTACACACTGACTCATGAACTCTTGTACATTAAATGAAATTTCCTGAATCCCAAGTTATGCAACTAGATTAGCAAGATAATAATGTTCACTAGATTACAGTATTATTTTTTGCCTAATTTTTAAACCTAAAATTATACTATTACTTTTTAAATTCAGAAAAACGTTTACAAAACAACTGAATTTTTTTACCTGTAATTATTATTGCTACATTTATATTACAAAGCATTCGAAACAAAAGCCCTAAAGAGTTGTTAAATTAGGTGAGGTTTTTTTTCCAACAGCCTGTAGTTTTCATTACAAATGTTCGATTTATAAATACAAATCCCAAATATTTCTTAAGTAGTTAATATAGCTTCAGAGATACAAGAAAGTACATACAATATGAACTGTGTGGTACATATGATGGGAACAATTTTTTTCCTGAAGATTCGAAAGCAATATGAAAACGAATGAAAAGCATGCTTCTGCTGTGACACATTCCCCCCAGAAGTCTTAAAAAAATTATACTATTGAATACTATAAACATAAGTGTCAGGTTGCATCTAGAGTAACAGACCACACATTATGGAAGAACTTACAAGAAAAGATTGCCAAATTTCTGATCTGCTACTGATTAGCAGAAGAATGTTATGCATTTGTTCCTAGTTGTAATCTAACCTTCATGCATATTCAAAAGCTAGAGTATATGTGCATAGTAAGAATAATCTTGCATGATCCTTCTTTATACAGTTTCTTTAGTAATATAGGTCCTAATGAAGATAATTTCAGGAAGCCAGCAAATTCTGTATAATTTCACTACACAGAAAATATACCCAAATTTCAAACAAACTTGTTATAAATTACAGCTCATACTAGTCCTTGGCCATAATATAATAATAATAAACAAGGTACTCATCATTTTATATTGCTTAACACTTTGAATGCCATATTTCCTTCACATACTTATGTTTTACTAATGTTCCCCTTTTAAAAATGTATGAAGGATTGTTGCTTTGTAGTTCACATTTATACGGCTTTCCTAGAAGAACGCAGAATACCATACTGAATGCCTATTGTGCAGAAATAACCCTGAAGGCTGTATCATAGCAGTATGCAGTAGAAAACCCTTACCAATTTTTCATCAACTGTGATGAGTTGCGTGTCTCGAGTTTGGTCCTGTGCCAGCCGCCATGTGGAAGTGCTCAGTGACCTGCGGTGCAAGACTTGAAGTTAAAAAATGATTCATGCAATGAGAAAATAGAGGCAGACAAATCTTACATAAACAAGTTACTTTAACAATATCCGTCTTGTAAAAAAAATTGAAGAGGGAGAGATGAGGGCACAAAAATCCTTTTTCTCCCCAATTAGTTCTGTCTGCTGAGTTTTTGGCAGACTCCCACTTAGCAGTTCACAACAGGCTGCACTTTATGTCAGCCTACAGGCTCTCTGTCACAGACAGACTGCCAGTGGCAAGGACTGTACTGCTCTATATGAATGTACAGTAGCTGGTTTGTCACGAACAGACAGAAAAATACAAGGCTGCTGCAAGCATTCTGCAACTCTGATCCTTAAAATGATGGCATCAGAGGAAAAAAATCCTAAATCTATTTGTAATGGTAAAGCTCCAGTTCTACACTTTAACAACAGAATATTAACAAATTAAAAAAAAAAAAACACAAAAAAACAACAAAACAAACCCTAAGCTGATAATTCAAACAAAATTTTCTGGTTTTGAGTGGGCAAAGCTCACAACTATTTTGCTTCATTTCTAAATCAGTATGGGTCAGCTTATTTGTTTCCAAGAAATATGATTAATCTTCTTGCGTAACTACTAAACCTGTAAGGTACAGATGGAAACACAGAACCCAATTCCACATCACTACATTAAGTAGTAAAATTTGCCCTTAATTTGCATTATGTCACTAATGTCAGGATTGGGCCCTTTGGGTACAAATCATCTTTTGGCAAAATAATGCAACAGCAAGTGAAACAAGCCAAAAAGCCCAATTCTCTGAGCTAATAGTGTGTTTCACTTAATTAAGGTCATTTTAAACAAATGAGGCACAAAAATGCAAGAATATAGACAACTGAACAGTAAGAGGCACTAAGTCACTTCCATTTCAACTATTCTTCAGAAGATTACCTAATTTGGGAAGCCAGACATGCTTGCAGATGCAAATGAACTTTGAGATTTTGCCTATGGGATACTTACAACCATACTTCTAGTAATTTAACGCTATTGGTAATGTTTACCCAATTTTTGAGGAAACCATCCATAAGTGCCTTTAAAAACACCACAGTTTTTAAAGCCAAATTCCAAGACTTTCAGAAAATCTGCAATACTATCCAAACTAACCCCTCCCCACATAAACTATAACTGTTAAATAGTCAATAATGTGAAAGGTGTCTCAGGACCAGATAACTTGCACACAATCATTTAAAACCTGTAGAATTAAAAGAGAGTATCTTCTACCGCATCCTACCAAGCCATGGAAACATGGCAGACCTAACTGGGGGAACAGTCTCCATAACACATGCATCTACCATGTCATCTAATCTCAAATCCCTCCCTAATTTTTGTTGATTCTGGTGAGAATGTATTTTGAAGATATGAACTTGATCATTTAATTAATCTATCTGCACTGAGTTTAACAAATTAACTAAACAAGCATTCAATTTTCAGACAATATTAGCATGGTAAAGTTCTTAGGGGGTAAAACCTACATTAGAAAGGAATTTGAAATTAGTGACTATAAAGCCACAAAAATCTTATAAAACTAAACAACTGGAACAAAGTTCAGTTCAATAATATTCGAAATGCAGATTCCCACAAGTCAATACTGCTAACACAGATTACACTCTACTAAATTACCTTCCATTTACCAATAACAACTTCAAAAAATCTTGACATCACGAAAAACAAACTCAAAGCACAAAGTTTACAGAATCACCTAACTTTGTGACATGGACAGACACATCTATTGCTATTTAAAATGACAAAATCTGTCTGGAAGGGTACTTTGAAGAACAAGATGACGTTTTCAAGTGCAAGGGAGCACAAGAATTTCATAAACATCAAAATGATAACTACTCTGTTAGCCCAAAATCTGTGTCCCAGAGAGCTTCTGGATCAACACTGCTGTCATTTTTTAATTTGTACATGTAAAACAATACATCATAAAAACAGAATAGACAGATACTGCAGAATGCTATAAGAAATGGTTCTTAGATGGTTCTTATTCAAAAACACACCAAGAGAGAAGTTATCCTAAAAGCCTTCAGAACAGCAGCGTTACACTTGAGTACCAGTAGTAAGTAGCTGAAGCAGCAAAATTTCCAACCTTAAACAAGGCAAAAACATTGTAATATGAAAATTAGTTTCTCCCCCACTCCAGGAATTTTAGTGTCAAAGTAGTATTCTGCAGGTATTCTAGAACTTCATGTGATACAGTGTTCACTACACTACTTAATATATAGCCAAAGGACATTGGATTATGCAATCAAATTGGTCCTTTCTGGATAGAAAATAATCTGAACTATGAATCAAGAAGTTCTCTGAACCTTGCTCTGTGGAAAGGTCTGATGAATACGTAAAGATTTGAGTATGCCAGGATTTAAGTAATAAGGTTGATCAGAATCAGTATGTAATATTGATCTTGTAATACAAATGCAATTTGGAACACAATTTAGCACAATTCAGTTTGAATTTGGTTGTTTGTTTGTTTGTTTTTTCATTTGGAAAAGCATTAATCAGCTTTGAAAAGTATAAATGCCATGCCCTTCCAAAATTATTTCCACTCAGCATTATGTCATTTGACATCATTTTTACTCAGATCGGTGCTCATTTTGGAAATTTCTGTATTTGCAGGAAAAAAAATTAAAGAGATTTCATACCATTACAGTTAATAAGCAAGAGCAGGGTAAAAATCCCACCAAATTAAAGATGGGCAGAATGTCTCTCTGAGATGCCTCTACACTGCATACGGAGGGAGATGATTTTTTTATACAAGATGTCTCTGTCAACTGGGATAAATTGCAAGGCATCACACCTTACAGCTCTCCATGATGTTTTAGCTCTTTGTCTACAAAAGCAGACAAACTGTTTACTAGCCTAAGTCAACTTCTGCTCCTCTTCAACATTTTTCAAAGCCATTTCTCTTCACTACACCATTCTGGAAAAAGCCCAACTGTTACTGGAATTTGCAACCTTATACATTTCTTAAATGCCCAGCCTTCTGCCTGTCCCTGGACTGCAATGAGTTGGAAAGAACATACTTTCCTTAAGAACTTTCTATTTGAAAAGTGGTTGAAAACTGGCATTTGGACTAGACTAGGAATGTGAACTGTAAGTCCATGGAGGTCCCTCTGTGTAAAAATACATAAAACACAAGTATTGCTTTAAAGGTGACAGGCTGTTGATATTTCCATTTGTTGCATCTCTCATAGGAAAGTAACCTGGAGCTTAGAAATACCAACAACTCTGAAATACCATGTGATCTGAAATACTATTATGTAGAAGTTAATAGCAAGTGTTACTTGATTCCCAGAGCGTTTGTTTAATTTTCAACAGGTTTCATTGCAAGTTTGTCCCTAATGTCAGGCACTTAACTGAGGAGATAACCAGGAAACAGACCTTCTTCACACAATCCTCTTTTCAAACTCCCACAGTGACAAGTAGTATTTCATCACTGAAGTTTCCCCTTAGAAATTGTATAAACTTTACAACACTTATTTTACCTTCAAATCAAATAAATATGCAATCTAAATCACTTAAGTGACCACTCAATTAAAACCTTTTATTCTGTCCTCAACAGTAAAGTAATTCGCACAAAATTCCCAATTAATACTTGCCTCTGCCCACATCCACCTTGACCTTTAGGTAGCTTTTGTGACAGATAAACTTGCAAAGGTATAAAACATACTTTTTACAGTTCCGTTTTCACAAGATTCTCTTCCTTTCTTCTACTACTGACCTCCAGAAAGGTAATCTGCTTTCTTCCTTTCTCTTTGTAAGAAATATGGGTCCACATTATCCTGTTTTGCCTCTTTTTGACTGCTTATGTTTTTTTTTCCCCCCTGTTGAAACATCTTGGGATGAGGCCTTAAGAGCAGGAAGTTCCATTTCTTACCCTGTTCCAAGACTAATCAAACTCTGATTTAAAATTACTGTACACAGAATACTTTAAATAATAATACATAGACCAGAAATATAATTCTAAAGTTCAGAAACTATACAGAAGGTTTTACATGTAATAGCTAGCAACAGTAAACCCTGCTATCTTCTAGGCTCATTAATGTCCTTCTAGGCTCATTAATGTCCCATTCAAAACACAGATCAGACAAACCTCCTTCACAGTTACTACCTAATAAACAAAGCGTGACAAGACTCCAAGCTGGCCACAGCTCCACTGTGGATCTGCCCAAACATTTTTCTTATAGTGAGCTCCCTAGTGATGAACAAACAAGCTTTTAAATGTAAAAGCCTGGGTTTATTAGAATAGTAAGCCTTTTAAAAGAAAAACCCTTCAAAATTACACAGACAAAAGTAAAATTAAGGTTCATAAAAAAAAGTCAGCCATGTTCTTTATGATCTTGCAGATACTTTCCCACAGTATCCCACATTAATGTATGTAGCTAATCCAATCTGCAGCTTCTTGGATTATAACCAATCCTTCACAAGGCCTTCTAGTCCCTAAAAAGTTTTTCTTTCATCAAGGAGGCTTGGCTGTATGGCTGGTGAAGATGCCACGCTTAGTCCACAGGGACTCAAGACAGCAAATTTTTCCTCTTGCTGAAGTTTGTCTTTCTGGGCCTCTTCCTTCAGATGCATCTGGCATCACAGTCCTCCTCCCCAAGTATATTCCCTCTCTCAAATCTCCTAGTCACTCTCTTAATAGAAGATTCCTTCTTTGTTCTCTACATGTTAGTCTGTCGCACAAATACAGAGGTGTCTTTGTGTTTCCACAAACACGGATAACTTGGCATGAACAAATAGCAGCTCCTTTGGCTACAGAGACCACCACTCAAATTGTCATTTGGTTTGCAATTATGAAAGTGGTATTTTCTCCCCATCCCATGCCATTGTGTTGTGCATTTAAATTCCTTAAAGTTGATCTACATGATCCTGTACCATCATTTTACACTATTATCATTTAATCATTTCTATCATTTATTATCATTTCATTATACTCATTTCTACAGTTCACTTAAAATGTAACTTTGT